CAGTGTCTGTTTTCCCTCTGAGTTGCTTCTGCAGCTGGCAGGGCTCATTTGGCATGAGGAATAACCTGAGGTCTTCCCTGGAGATGACGTTATAGAATCAGACCTGCAGGGATCCTCCTTGCAGCACATAGAGTAATTTCAGTGCTGGCTTCCACTGTTTGAATTCTTACACCAAGTATTTTGGAGTTTATGCATTGGTTTTCCCTGCTGCTGCTGCTGCTGCTAAGTTGCTTCAGTCGTGTCCGACTCTGTGCGACCCCATAGATGGCAGCCCACCTGAATACCTAAATATTCTGTCGTTGTTAAACTAAAGCAGTATCTATTCTACGTAGAGCTTGACAATTCATAACTGAGCTTATTTTTTACTTTACCAAGAGCAAAACTAATAACTGCAGTAAATTATATACTTGCTCAGCATTTTGAACACTCCCCACACTCTTAGAATAATTAATATTTGAAAATGCTAAATTTACAATGTTTAGAATGCCTTTGGTTCCTTCTTTGTCTTCTCTCCCGCATCTTGTTCCAAACAAGGTTCATGGTAACTTGCATAAACACACACAATTTTCTTCTTTAATGGATAATTGGGGCAAAGGGAAAATAAATGTAAGAAAAATAATGTGAATCCCAAGATCGAAAGTCTACCAAGTCAGCACCAAGCCCCAGCGACGTTCTGGCAAAAGACACTGCTGGGCTGGACTTGGGAGTGATCCCGGCGTCTGTGACAACAGAGCCGGGGCCTCGCAGGCTGCGGTCTGTCCTCATCGGTGGGGTGAGGGCCGCCTCCCCAGTTCCCACAGTGGAGGGAGACAGCTGATTACCAAGTGAGCCTGGAGGGCCCCCAGGTGGCTGCCTGCCTGCCTGGCCTCAATTTTGACCTCTCCTGTGAGGTCTAAATTCAGCACCCATGTTATTCTGAAATTGATGTTTTTCTTCTTGCTTTTCAATGTGCTTCTCATCTGTGAATATTGGTATTGCTGAGACTTTATTAGGGAATATTGATGCAGTTCATGGAATTAAAGGTAAAAATAGGTTATGGTTCTGTTCTCCCTGTAGGAAAGGAAGAATCATCAGGCGTGATGGCTGTAGAACTTTGCTGATGGAGGGGTTGCTGGGAGCAGGGATTGAGGGGGGCGGTGAGCTGCCTCCTGCTCCCCCTCTTCCCACGTCTAGGGAGAGGGAACACAGGTCCTCACTCTCTTACCTGCTGTTCCCCAATCCAGGCTTCCGGACGCTGACTGCTGAGTGTCTTTTGTACTCATTCCACTGCAGAAAGAGCATTGCCTTTGATGAGGGCTTGCTGTCCTAGACGTCCTTGAAAGGGGTGTTCAGAATGCGGCCCAGACACCACACTGTCCCGTGAAATACGAAAAATTCTGATTTCCTGAAACCCAGCTGGCTGTGGGGATCTGATTTGAGTCTTGAGGCTCCTCTTCTCATGCTTGGGGAAGGACGGGGCACCGGGGAGTGGGGGGATCGCCAGCCAGCCTAGCGTGGTGCCGTGTGACAGCCCCAGTTCAGATTGTTGGTGAGGGGACACAGGCTGGAGCACGTGTGCCTGGGGGGCCGGCCGTGCACTTGCTGGTCTGACTTGAGGGCCTGGTGCGCCTGGAGGCGGAAGGCTGCTCCTCCTGCTCAGGTCCCGCAGCAGCCAAGGCCATGCACAGAGTCCTTTCCTGCTGAGTTTTCTGTGGCCTTTCCCGTCCCTGTGTTTTAAGTTCAGATGACACTGAGGAGCCTGCTCACACCCAAAGCAGTGCAGGCAGGAGAGTCAGAGCTGTGGGGTGAGGCCTGGGTTCTAGGGCTAAATCCACCCCTGCCCAGTGCTTGACTTCAGCTTTGTTATTTGGGAAATAAGGATTCCACTCACTCATTCATCCATGCATTCATCCATCCACTCAAGCATGCACTCATTCGGTGAGTGTTTACTTCACAACATGTACTGGGCCTGGGGCTGGGGGTGAAAGGGGCAGACGAAGTCATTGTAGTTGCAAACCCTTTAGTGACCATAGAGCCCCTGGCTGTCGTGTTTTCCCCATGACTGAGTATTCTGGGCAGATGTTAACGTACAGCATTATGCCCTTTGTGGCACCATTTATTAGCTCCCCCAGGCCCATGGTGGGGGTGGGGGGTAGTTCTTGTTAGTCCTACTTGAAAGACAGATGGCCCGTGCAGTGTTTTGCTGTGTGAAAAGTCCAGGGGTCACCTGCTCCTCTGGTGGGAAGTGCTGGGCTACCTTTCTAGGAAAGCACTCGCTACTTACCTGTTTCAGCCCAGCATCTTCCAGAGAAATATTACTAATGCATCCTTTAGACACTGCTAAAAATGCAGCTCTATTCATGCAGAAACCAGAAAACACAGACATGGTGAAAATAAGCAGCCAGTGTGGGGAGTAGCTGCAGAGGAATCCATGAGTTGGGAATGCGGAAAGATGGGTAATAACTCCCAGCTTAGGGAGGAGCTGCAGCACAGTTTGTCTCTTCATCGTCTTGGAAAATGTGGGTGTGCTGGTTACAGCAAAGTTCCTGTTTGGGTGGCCCTTCACTTCTGCTGCTTTAAAGTGAGGATGACATGGCTTATCGCATATTCCAAGACGGACAGGTTGGCCTGATCAGGCAGTGAGCGCCTGGCAAGCATGCTGAGCTCAGGATTTGGAGTTGCCCGTGGTCTACCTTCCTTGTATTCAGAGGGGCTCCGTGAATGTGAGTGTATGTCCAGAGAGAGATTGCCTACCAGGGGCCTCTTTCATTCTGGCCATGTGCAGAGGCAGTACCATCTGAGACCATATCTTTTCTCTTAGAGTAGACCCTGCCTTCCCAAATTCCACTCCTAAGGCCTGGAAGTCTCCATGGGAGGTGAGCCTGGCTTTGGGGAGGAGGGAACCACCCTGCAGGTTGACAAAACAGTCATACATTTTGTCTTGCATTTCTGTGATAAGAAATGACATAAGATGACATATGTCATCATAAGATGACATATTTTGCTCCCCAGGCCCTCTGTTTTATTGTTTATAGTTTAAAAGTGACTTCTTGGATTTTCTGAGACTCAGGGATAATACTTTAAATAAATAAGTACTTGTTCCATTGTACAAATTTGGAAAATACAGAGGAAAAAAAGGAAAATGAAGATCACACATCACCCATGATTTGTATTTTAGTTAAGTTCTTCCTAAAGAAGGTTATTATCTCTGGGCCTGAAGATGCTTGTGTGTTAAATCTTTGCCAACCTGAGATTTAACTATATATAGACTTATATGTGCTTCTCTCTACATCACTAAATAATCTTCACAATTGTGCTTTACATGGCTGCCCACTGTCTTACCATCATTGGCTTCCTCTGTGGTTGTAGATTGTTTTTCAGTTTGTCTCACTGCACAGACTGTTTTTGTTTATACACTATGAACCGTATTTCAGGGTTTTTTGTGTGCATCTTTGGTTCTAGAATGATTGAGTCACTGTCTGAAACCAGTTTGTACATCTGTGGTCTGAGTTTATTGCATAGAGGTTGTAGCAGAGTTGGCTTCTGTGTTCAGTTCAGTTGTTCAGTTGTGTCCGACTCTTTGCAACTCCATGGACTGCCGCTCGCCAGGCCTCCCAGAATTTACTCAAACTCATGTCCATTGAGTCAGTGATGCCATCCAACCATCTCATTCTCTGTCGTCCCCTTCTCCTCCCGCCCTCAATCTTTCTCGGCATGGGGGGCTTTTCCAGTGAGTCAGGTCTTTGCATCAGGTGATGAAAGTATTGGAGTTTCAGCTTCAGCATCTGTGCTTCCAATGAATATTCAGGACTGATTTCCTTTAGGATGGATTGGTTGGATCTCCTTGCAGTCCAAGGGACTCTCAAGAGCCTTCTCCAATACCACAGTTCAAAAGCATCAATCTTCGGTGCTCAGCTTTCTTTATAGTCCAACTCTCACATCCATATATGACTACTGGAAAAATCATAGCTTTGACTACACGGACCTTTGTTGGCAAAGTAATGTCTCTGTTTTTTAAAAAGCTGCCTAGGGTGGTCATAACTTTTCTTCTAAGGAGAGAAAGAAAAGCAGTTCTTTAATTTGATAGCTATTATTTCCATTTTTATATCAGCCCGCACAGAAGACTTTCATTCCAATCCCAAAGAAAGGCTTCCATGTGGGCTGACGTAAAAATGGAAATAATAGCTATCAAATTAAGGAACTGCCTTTCTGTTCACATTTGGATCCTGAAAGCACATGTTATTGACATCAGCCTTTGATATTGGTCAGAGGTGTTTGCACCCACAAATCTGTATGTCAGTCCTTACATGGTGGCTTTCAGCGTCCAGATGTTCTGACGTGGGACTCAGAGTAGTAACCACAGCTGTTTAGCAAAGTAAGGTCTTCTAGGAAGTCAACTGATCTGAAGAGTCAGCAGAGGGTTACTCACTGTTTACTAATAGCCCTTCCCTGTGGTGAGGAAACAGCAAACTCAAATCTTGGCCTCGATATGTGTCCTGTGATTTTTTTTTCCTATTGTGTTTTGGTTTTTTGTTGTTTTTTTTTTTTTTTTTTTTGAAATATTGCTTTTTTGCCTGCTAATGGCTTCTTATTCCTGACTATCTGCTCCATCTCTGGGGCACCCACTTCCAGGTCTTTGCTCGCTGGCCCCAGTTACCAGCAATGGGTCCTGGCGCTTTCAGAAAGCCTTGTGGGTCTGGGTCATTAACCCTCCCTGCCCAACCCAGGCTTCCTATCCTCCACAGACTGTCCTCCTCATTCTCCACAGGGTCAGATTTTCTGTTCTGTGGTCTTCAGCCTTTCTTCCCCTTGCTGCCATGGTGGACGGGCATGTCCGTCGTGACATCTGGCCCCAGACGCGCAGGCTTGGCTGCGGCAGAGGAGGGCAGGGGGCGCCAGGCCCAGCCGCTGGCCGGGAAGACTGGTCGTTCTCTTGGGGAGGTGTGGCGAGAGCCCTGTTCACCGTGTGGATAAGAAGCCAACACGCAAAGCGCGGCATGAACGTCTCCGTTGTTTTCTAGAAAAGAAGCCGAGGAGGGGCCGGCCGTCGCGGGATGGGCGGCGGCGGAGGAATGCCATCCGGCTGACCAGCGAACACACGGTGGAGACCCTAGTGGTGGCCGACGCCGACATGGTGCAGTACCACGGGGCCGAGGCCGCCCAGAGGTTTATCCTTACCGTCATGAACATGGTGAGTCTGCTTGCCCCTGGAGAGGGCTCTGCGCGCAGCGCGGGCGTCTGCTCCTGGCTCGGGGGTGGGCTCACACGCAGACTTGCCACCCCTGGGCAGGTGGGGCACACGGCGCGGGGGCCGGGGGGGCCCCTAGGCAGAGGCCCGAGTGCTGAGCCCTGCTGGTGAGGGGTCAGTGCCGGAAGCTGCCGGGTGTGGAGGAGTCCTCCCGGGGATGGGAGTCCGCCCGGTGTGGGAGGCCGCCGGGCCATGAGAGTCCGCCCGGGGATGGGAGTCCACCCGGTGTGGGAGGCCGCCGGGTATGAGGGAGTCTGCCCGGGGATGGGAGGCCGCCTGGTGTGGGAGTCCATCCGGGAATGGGAGGCCGCTCGGTGACGGGAGTCCGCCCGGTGTGGGAGGCCGCCGGGCCATGAGAGTCCGCCCGGGGATGGGAGTCCGCCCGATGTGGGAGGCCGCCGGGTGTGAGGGAGTCCGCCCGGGGATGGGAGTCCGCCCGGTGTGGGAGGCCGCCGGGTGTGAGGGAGTCTGCCCGGGGATGGGAGTCCGCCCGATGTGGGAGTCCATCTGGGAATGGGAGGCCGCTCGGTGACGGGAGTCCGCCGGGCCATGAGAGTCCGCCCGGGGATGGGAGTCCACCCGGTGTGGGAGGCCGCCGGGTATGAGGGAGTCTGCCCGGGGATGGGAGGCCGCCTGGTGTGGGAGTCCATCCGGGAATGGGAGGCCGCTCGGTGACGGGAGTCCGCCCGGTGTGGGAGGCCGCCGGGCCATGAGGGTCCGCCCGGGGATGGGAGTCCGCCCGATGTGGGAGGCCGCCGGGTGTGAGGGAGTCCGCCCGGGGATGGGAGGCCGCCCGGTGTGGGAGTCCGCCGGGTGTGGGAGAGTCCGCCCGGGGATGGGAGGCTGCCTGGTGATGAGAGTCCACCCGGGGATGGGAGTCCATCCGGGGATAGGAGTCCGCCCGGGGATGGGAGGCCGCCTGGTGATGAGAGTCTGCCCGGTGACGCGAGGCCGCCCGGCAATGAGAGTCCGCCCTGGGACCGGAGTCCTCTGGTAGCAGGGGTCTGCCTGGTGTGAGAGACCTCTGGTAGTGGGAGTCGCCCGGTGATGGGAATCTGCCCAGTGATGAGAGTCTTCCGGGAGATAGGAGTCCTCTGGCTATGGGAGTCTCCTGTGCTCCCCCCTAGAGGCCTCCTGAGACCCTTTCTGTGGGTGAAGGCCCCTCTCAGAGGACTCAACGCTGAGTCAGTCAGTCCTGCTCTAAGGAGCCAATTGTCTAGTACAAAGAATCAATATCCGACTTTAGTGTAAAACAGAGCTGGTCCTATGAGAGGAATAGAGGTTGCTTAGTTGAGGGAACCAAGGAAGGTGCTGTGTCTCCTCTGATTTGATGAATGGGCGGAGGAGGGAAAGGTCACATGGTGGGCAGGTGGGGAGGGGCTGCCCACCTCAAACTTTAGACACAGAAGGATGTTTGTGTGCATCCCCACTCCACCATCCATCCACTCTCCTAACAAGCAATTTTGAAGATCTGGCACTGTGGTAGGTGCCAGTTACAAATCCTAAAAGATCCGGTCCTTTCCACAGAAGGCAGTGGTGTCACAGACGGGCGAAGCATCTGTGCTTGAGTAGGCATTTCTGCAGGGAGCACTGGGGGCCAGGTGGAGGCCTGGGGAGTGATCACCCCAAAGTGTGGGGGCATCATGAAAGAGCTGACCCTTCAGCCAAGTGAGGGTGCTTGCCTGGTTGGGGGAGCAGTGGCAGGTCACATAGGGGCTGCCACAGGAGCCACATCTTGGGGAGGACAGGTGGACTGGTGTGGCTGCAGCCAGGACGGGAGCAGCCTTAATGAGGTGGGTGCCCAGAGTCAGGATGGGGAGGGCGGGTGAGGCCTCCCAAGGGGAGACAGAAACGTGCATGGACTAAGGTCTGGAAGGACAGCCCCACAGCTGCACCTGGGGGGACTGGAGTTGGAAAGGCAAGAAGGAGCACTGGGAATGGAGCGTGTGAGGTGAAAGCATCTGGACTAAGGGGCGGGCATGGGGGTGGAGGAGGTGATCGTGTGGGGAGGAGGGTGTGCTGGGAGGAGAGACCCACAGGACTGGGTGTCTGGCCTGGAAAGGCAGAGGCAAGAGAGACCCAGGGTACCCCTGAGCTATGCTCTGGTTGCCTGGGTGGTTGGCAGGGCTACTAGACAGGAAAATGAGAAGAGTGTTTGGGGACACAGCGAGGGTTCCAGTTTGGACCAGCTAGCTTTGAGTTCGCTGGTGGAGCTCAGGATGGCGAGCCTGGTGGGTGAAGGGACTAAGGCTGCTGGGCGTGAGGCTGGGGCTGCAGCTGTTGGTGTGGCTGGCCTTGGCCAGGTCGAGCAGAGCACAGCCGGGAGAGAGGAGATGCTGGCAGAGGCACAGTGGAGTTCCAGGGTCAGGGCCGGGTGGGAGGCAGACAGACCAGGTGTGGGTTGTCCTTAGGAGCGAGGTGAGAGGTGTGGAAAGGGAGTGGCTAACAGTGCCTGATGCTGCTGCCGGCCCCAAAGGAGTAACTTTAGGGATTGGTTCCCTGGTGCCTCAGATGGTGAAAGGGTAAAAGCGTCTGCTTGCAATGCAGGAGACCTGGGTTCCATCCCTGGGTGGGGATCCCCTGGAGAAGAAAACGGCAACCCACTCCAGTACTCTTGCCTGGAAAAACCCATGGACGGAGGAGCCTCATAGGCTATAGTCCATGGGGGTTGCAAAGAGTCAGACAGGACTGAGCGACTTCACTTTCACTCACCTTAGGGATTGCTGGGGGCGGAAGCTGTGTTGGGACAAACTGGGATGAGATCAGGAAGTGAAGGAGTAGAAACAGCATTGTTGAAGATCTTGGCTGAGGGAGAGAAGAGAAAAGAGCCTCCCTGGGTGGAACCGAGGTCAAAGAGGACTTTGGAGAGGGAAGCGGGTGAGGGGTACAAGTGTGGGGTGTAGGCCCAGACAGACCTGAGGCGGGAGCCCTGCTCTGAGCTCAGAGCTGGCAGCATCAGAACCACTTTGAGCTGGCTCCTTCTGTGTGAGCAGCCGCGAGGCAGGGGCTTAACCACCCCCGGGCCTTTAGCCGCCCCAGGCGTCTTGTGCCTGGTGACAAGTGCATACATAGCTCATAGGAAGCAGAAAGGGCCAGGCCCTGGCTGTGCCACAGTGGCTGAGAGATGCTGGAGGTGGCCCAAGAACAGGGAGGCCGGAGACATGGCCCAGGTCGCACAAGCAGTCACTGGCAAGGCTGTGGCTGTCAGGCCAGGCCCGTCTGTAACAAGCCACAGGGAAATAGATGATCATAAGCCTCACCCTTCTAAGCCTCACCTTGGGCTGATGGGGATGGCGAGCTCCACAGCGTTCCTGCCCACTGTGAAGTCAAGACTCCGGTACCTCGACCTCTGTCCAGTTGACTTGCCAGTGCTTGCTTTGGGGACATGTATTGATTTGCAGGAAACTCTGTCTGTCTGTCCCCCACCCCCACTGCAGACAGGCCATGCCCCGAGGCCGAGGCTGCTTTAGTGGTATGTGGAGTCTTGAAAGTGAGTTACCCTCTGGACCCACAGACCTCCCCGTAGGACGGGCTCGTCTGCAAAGCCCAGTGATGTGGACCCGCTGGGGCACTGGTCCAGGGCTGATCCGTGGACATGGGCACACCATGAGGCACCAGGTCACCCTCCCTTTCAAACTCATCAGCTCTAGGAATTCTGTTAACTTCTTTTCTTTCCTTTCTCCCCCCGCCCTTTCCTTCCTCTCCATTTTTTCCTTCCTTCCTTTCCTTCTCCAGATTTTTAAAACTTACAGTAATAAGTACATACCATAAAAGTCTCTGTCTCACCCTTTAAGCCTGCAGTTCCGTAACATTAGGTTACATTCACATTGCTGTACTGCCATTGTCACCATCCATCCCCTGAATTCCTTTGTCTTTCAGAACTGAAACTGTGCTCATTAGACACTGACACCCCATTCTCCCCTCCCCCAGCCCCAACAGCCACCCTTCCATTTTGAATTTGACGCCCCTAAGGACCTCATATATAAGTGGAGTCAAACAGTATTTGTTCTTTTGTGACTGGTTGATTTTCACTCAGCATGATGTCCTCTAGGTTGGTCCATGTTGTTGGAGGTGTCAGAATCTCCTTCCTTTTTGGCTGCAAAATATTCCATCATATGGACAGATTACATTTTGTCTGTTCATCCATTGATAAATGTTCGGGTTGCTTCCTCCTTTAGGCTCTTATGAATAATGCTGCTGTGAACGTGCGTGTACAGCCTGAGTCCCTGCTTTCACTTCTTTTGGGTATGTACCCAGAAGTGGAATTGCTCCTGTTTCAGCTTTTAATGGTGCTTGGCCCTGATTTCTGAGAAATATCCGAGCTCTGTGTTTGCACGAGCCCTGGCCTCCCTGGCGGCTGGTTAACGACGGGCTGCGGTGCTGCAGTCGCCCAGAGAAGAGCTCAGGGGGAGGGCTGCGGGGGCTGGCTCAGCACCAGGCTCTCTCACCTGTAGGTAATTTCATCTCATTTATTTATTTTTTGTCCAGGGCACAAGTCCAGGGGATAAACATTCATTACAACAGCTGAAGTAGTAATAAGGCAAAGCTCCCAGTTTGATATTTGCTTTCATAACTTTATCATGTGGGCAAGGGCCGCTGTTTCATTTATCGCAGGTCGGACAGGGGTTGTATGTGGGAGTGTTGGTCTCCCCACGAGCTGTAAGGACGGAAAGACAGGCTGAGTGGTGGTGACGCTTGGCTTCAACATGACACTCTTCACGCCTCTTCAGCTGCTGATACTAAGATGTTGGCGGCTCCAGATCCTGCTGCTTGAGGGCAAATCTGGGCCAACTACATTAGTTTGGGATTTAGATGTTTCTTAACGAGGCCTGCCTGAGAAGGTCATGCCACTTTGGTGCAGGGCACGTGGCATTTGCACACTGACACTTAGCCCCTCAGTCGTCTGCTTCTTGGAGTTTCTTGGCTGGTCTGACGAAGCCAGA